CCGGCCGGACGTCATCCGTCTTGCCCCCACGCCGACACCTAGTTACCGCCTTCCAGCCCGGCCGCCGCGTCACATCCACCAGTGCGCACGCGCCCGGCAGTCCTGCTGAGACGGAGAGACCTCTGCTGCCCAAAAGCCGGACACAAATAAGCCTGAAACGGCTGCGGCCCGCAGGGACTTTGGCTTCGAGGAGGATCTGGGCACCAGCTCCGAAGGCAGTCAACATAATATCGGGAATGACGTCAAATCGAAACCATGAAAATGTCGTCATCGCCCATGCTTAACAGGCTTTGGCACCGTCCCTGAGAGATTTCCGACGTCAAACTGCCGCTTGCCATTGTCTTTGGGCTTAACGACACATTCAGTTACTGCAGCTACATGATTCGGCCCGCCTCTCACCCTGGCAGGAAGGGCGGACACGACGGGGAATTGAACCCTGTATGCTTGGTATCCCACACGCGTAGTTAAGCCACTACTCTATCAGTGCGCCGCTTCTGGATCGCCCCAGCAAGTCAGCCGGATGATCTAACAACCGTCGCGGCACAGCCTGGCTGCTTAACCACTAACGGTCAGCCCATCGGTCAGCCGACCTGACCTGACCTGACCTGATATAATATAATCCGACCTGACCTGACCTGATCTGACCTGTCCTGATCTGACCTGATCTGACATGACCTGATCTGACCTGATCTGACCCGTTCTGACATGACCTGATCTGACCTGACCTGACCTGGCCAAACCTTTCCTCACCCCTCCTCTTCATCTGATTCGCATGTGGCCCCAGGCCTGACCTCCATCCCAGAACCAGCGTGACAGATAACCATCGGGGGGGCCGCTGACATGACGATCGGGTCAGGGCGCGTGGTGCCGCTGACATGATGACCGGGTCAGGGCGCGCGACGCCGTTCAATAGCCCGGCGCCGCTGACGTCACCGGACGGCCCGCCACAGCGGCGCCCGGTCTCTGGTCCGCTCCGCAGGTCAATAACGATTTGCGTACGGCCAGGACGACTTATTGGCCTCGAAAAGGAGGTCAACAGCGATCCACGCACGGCAAACGCGCCTCACAAGACTCAGCTGTGGATTAAGGTGACACCTGCGCGCGGCCAAGACGCCTCACTGGCCTCAACTCGGGGTTCCATAGCGATCACCGCGATGTCCATGCGCTTCACCAGCCTCAGCTGTGAGGTCAAGGACGAACATCCCTATAAGGAACGAATCTCAGTGCTCGGGTCAAGTAATGCACGCAGGGCCCAGAGCACAGTGCGGTAGCGCCAAATGGCGAAGATGGGCAGGGCATCGCCCTCGGCCGAAAGCATCGTCTGTTCTAGACCAGGACAGCCATGGCTCTGTTCAGGACAGCCATGGCTCAGCTCAAACCACTTCAAACCAGTCCTCCACCGCATGTCACGTGGCAGGGTGGACTGGCGCGGCACGCCGGCCACGTCCAAGGCTCGCAGCTCACACGGTAAGGCGCAGGAGTGAGGCGGCACCGAGAGGTCGGCGGAGGCTTCTAGCAGACAGCTGATGTGAGGCGCTCTCGCAGCTCCCACGGTAAGGCGCAGGGGTGGAGCGGCACCGAGGGGTCAGCGGAGACTTCTAGCAGACAGCTGATGTGAGGCGCCCTCGCAGCTCCCACGATAAGGCGCAGGAGTGAGGCGGCACCGAGGGGTCGGCGGAGGCTTCCAGCAGACAGCTGATGTGAGGCGCCCTCGCAGCTCCCACGATAAGGCGCAGGAGTGGGACGGCACCGAGGGGCCAGCGGAGGCTTCCAGCAGACAGCTGATGTGAGGCGCCCGGCGCAGGGGTGGAGCGGCACCGAGGGGCCAGCGGAAACTTCCAGCGTACAGCTGATGTGAGGCGCCTGTTATGCAGCCTATGGGCCTGGGGAGATAGTGGTGGCCTGAGCACGGCGGGCCGCCCGTGAGTCGTGGCGTGACGTGACGTCACGTGGCATGGCGTGACGTCAGTCGTGCCGTGCGGCTGTCCTGCATCCTCGGGTATGGGTCCATCAGTGCGCAGCAGGCAGCCCACAAAGCGCGGTCTGGGCACAGCTCTTCAGCGCCGAGACGACTGATCGATGGTGGGCGTGGCGGCGGGCCGCCAGCCGTGCCAGCAGCGGGTGGCTTATGACGCGTGGAGTCCGCGGAGAAGCCCAGCCCAATGGCGACCGTCGGCTCCCCCCTCCCCCCCCCCCTCCCCTCGTCGTCTGTCGCACGCCAGATCCGGCTTGGGGCGGCCCGGAAGTCCACTGGCGATACCCTGCCGGCGCCGGGTCCGGGCGGCTTGGCATCGACCGGCGGTTTCAGTGCGGCGCGGCCCCCGGAGACGGAGTCCGTCGCATCCGGTCATCCCTCGCGGGCACCAGACCCGTCCGGCGGCCCGCTCGGTGCGGGCGCCAGGGGCTCCAGCGGCGGCGCCGGCCGGCCGGCCAGCCCGGCTCCCGGGCCCATGCAGCCGACCGTGGCACACGCGCGGTCGAAACTGAGCGAGCGCGGCGGCCGGGCGGAGGCTCGGCGCCGTCTGCAGCGTCGGCAGCCCGGGCTGCCCTGCCCTCTGACCGGAGCCTGCTGACGAGGTCGGGCAGCCGCCGACAGGAGCGGCTTCGGTCGACAGCAGCCGCCGATCGGAGCGGCTTCGGCCGACGGCTGCCGCCGATCGGAGCGGCTTCGGCCGACGACAGCCGCCGATCGGAGCGGCTTCAGCCGACGGCTGCCCGCCATCAGCGCAGTCTGCATAATCGCCTGACGATCGATTCCTCTGCAGCGGGCGTCAAGGCCGCGCTGGCTCAGTGCTGGAGCGCCGCGGTAGCTGCTGACAGCGGTCGCGGTGCGGATTCAGAAGACAGCTACAGCAGAACCTGCAGCGTTCATGGTGATGTACCAGGCAGCAAAAATAAAGCAGGGGGGGAACCCCTTAAGCCCATGAACCCACGACAGGTCAATATAAAAAGACGTGATTTCTGACAAAGAAAGTCGCCGCTTAAGCGGTTGCCTGCGATCTCTGGCGAGACGCCGATATTATATGCTGGTCAGCCCAGTCACCGACCGCCGTCGCCAGCAGGCTGAACCAACAGCCCCGCGAGGGTAACCACGGCGCCAGCCCCTGCTCTCCCAGCGGGCGTGCCCTCCGGCTGACCTCTGCTGAGCCCGGGCAGCGATGGCAGCGACGCCGGCGGCGGTGGCGGCCGCGGCTCCATCTGGCCGACAGTTCTGGGAAGGGTGGTGCGAGCTCCGGCTGCTGCCGCCGCAGCCGCTACAGCGTCAGCCCCGCCGCTCTCGCCACCAGCACCGCCCGCTGCGTCGCTGTCAATGGCTGGGGCTTTGCTCGGCGCTAGAATCGCTCCCACCACTGGCGACACACTGAGCGTCGTGCGCCGACCGCGGGGAGGCCGATCTGGCGGCCGGCTGCAGCCGCCGCGGCCGATGATGCCGGCTGCGAGGCTCGCTCGGCGCGCGGCCGCGCCCCTGGCGCCGTGACTGCCGGCCGGCTGCAGCCGCCGCGGCCGCTGAAGCCAGCTGTGGGGCTCGCTCGGCGCGCGGCCGCGTCCCTGGTGCCGGACTGCCGGACGGCTGCAGCCGCCGCGGCCGCTGAAGCCAGCTGCGAGGCTCGCTCGGCGCGCGGCCGCTCTCCTGGTGCCGTGACTGCCGTCCCCGATACCCGACACCTTCGCCGTCAACCGGCGGCGCTTCGCGGCCCGTGCTGCGTACCGCACGCCGACCCCGTCACACGGGCTGGCCACCGTGCAGCCAGCCAGCGCTTGTGGACGGACGGCGAACCGGTATGAGCACAGAGCCAAGCGCGTTACATTTGCTCTGGATCGAATGAGCTCGTTTGCTCGGGCCCCACGCTGTGCACTGGCCATTCATCACGCATGACCATCGTACATTTCCAATTCTGGTTTCGGTTGCATCTGATCCCAGGCTAACGTACGAGTAATCAGACCACAGTGATATTGTTTGCCCCATGCGCTTTAGAAAACCGTACGCAAACGAGCTGTCGACTTATCGCTGACTGTAGTACACTGCCAGGACACGTTGCAGGGACAGAAGTCTTTCTCGATGGTTTGCCTAAGACTCACATCATCTTCGGGACACAACTAATAAGAACATTTGAGTTCGTGGTATTACTGCAATCAAAAATGACAATTTTGTTAACAAGACTGGCATTAGTGCTAAGCGCCGGAGCACGCCACATTATCACCGGTGTCGCATCTAAAGCTGGACCAGCTCATTTCAAATTCGTTTCTGGCTCCGGACATAGCCTGGGAACATTCCGCTGCACCCCATCTCGTCCCAAGACCTAATTTAGATACGTGACAGGTTATGAGAAGCCCCATCTCGGGAACGAGCTTATTATCATCACCTGAAAACTAAAACTCAAGCAACGTCTTTAGCCTGTGACGCCGACGGCAGCTCGGGACCAGCCGTCAGCAACGCACAGCCAGCGAACGTGACGAAAACATCAAAGGCCTAAACAGTAGCGGAGCGGCCGCGCCGCCCCGGTGATCGGCTGTCTCGACAGCGCCAGGGCACGATCGACCAGGGCGCGGGCGCTCGGCGGCAGCGGAGCGCGGCGGCGCGTCAGCCATATCGAGCCGACACCAGCCGCCTGCACGGCGTCGAAAACACGGCCGCGAGAGCCGGGGCCGACGCCGGCGGAGGCCGGGCCGGCTCATCGCCCCCAGTCTCGGGCGGCCCGGCTCCTCCGGGGGCGGCGCATTCGGCCCACAGAACTGCCGCCGGACGACGGGGCCAACACACCGCACCGCGTCAAAACAGGCCGCCGGCCCTCTCTCCACCCGGGAGAGGGCCGAGCACGCCGCCCCGAGCTTGTAGGACGAATAGCGATCGCAGCCGAACCAACACGGCTAGGGACAGAGGAGCGGCCGTGGCAGCCAAAGTGGAGAACTTACGGCCGCCGTAACGACCGCAATGGGAAACACGCGTGACTGAAAAGAAAACACGAGGCCTCGGGAACCAGTGGCAGTGCAGTACTTACCGCTAGGGGCGCTGCTAGGCGCTGGCACCGGATGACTCCGTTTCTCCCACTCCATAGTTTAAACCATAGTCACAGCTGCAACAGATAAGCACAGTGCCGTAAGTCACAAACCTAATACAGTCAAGTGCAATCTAAAACATAAAAGCACTGGTTAGCGGCGCACGGTTGGGCGGTGCGGTGGTGACGGCAGCTGCCCGTTTTAATGCAGCCGTGATTGCGAGCCGCGACGCTCGATATGAACCGGACCAACGGCCCACTATTGGGAACTCAGCAAATTTGGCGAACAAAAAACAGACGGAAATCCGCTCACCAAGACTGATCAAAACAGGACAGACCAATACGACATGTCCTGAACAGTAGGCTCAGAAAGGTAGCGTGAAAGACGGCGATATTTTGATGTTAGCAGCGCAGCAGATGTGCTATGCTCGACCTCTCCAGAGCATTCTTATCTCGCAGAATGGCGAAAACGCCATGCATAAATATAGGTGCGATTTATTTGAACACATGGGTGAGGCATTCCAATTGAAACCGCGCAGCGTGACTGCGACTGAGTGAACAATTCGGTGCTGCACCCACGTTTTGAGGTTATTACAGCATGACGAGCACGACGTTAGGGCTTCATCGTTTCGATAACCGAGTCCCACCAGCTCCTCTGGCGCCCGCCGGTGTCTCGCCGTATGATGGCATGACGTTTCGATAACCGAGTCCCACCAGCTCCTCTGGCGCCCGCCGGTGTCTCGCCGTACAATGGCATGACGTTTCGATAACAGAGTCGCACCAGCTCCTCTGGCACCCGCCGGTGTCTCGCCGTATGATGGCATGACGTTTCGATAACCGAGTTCCACCAGCTCCTCTGGCGCCCGCCGGTATCTCGCCGTACGATGGCATGATGGAGCTATGTGACAAGGACATGAGCCAGCGGTCGCGAATGGCGCCCGTTCGCACGCGCACAAGCTCCACCGACGCGTCCCTGCATCACGCGGCGCTGCCACCAATATCGGACCTGGACCGGATATTGATCGGGCGCAGCCGCCGCCAACGGCGGGTCGCACAACGGCCCTCCCCCTCCCCCTCCGCCGCCGCCGTCGCCGGCGAATTAGTCCGGCCGACAGAGGCACGGGCTCCGGCTGTCCCCCGGGCGGGGTCGGAGGTCACGCGAGAGTGCCAGTGGGTCCCGGACGGCGGACGACGGACCGCTCGGAGACGTGCCGCGCCGCCGGCCGGCGGCCCGCGCTGACGCCGCCGCCCGCTGTGACGGCGTGACGGAGGATGGGGTGCAGCGCACGCGGCGAGCCCGGCGGCAGACACGCCAATCCCCCGGCCGGAGTGACTGACGTCAGCCCTGACGTCAGCCACTCCGGCCAGCCGGCGGAACGCCTGTAACGATCGGCGGGGTTCCGGGACTCACGCGCATGAAGCACTCGTATCCGTTTGCTGACCGCCCGACCATATGGGACAAGTGTCTTGATCTGTCCAGCGACATAACCAGAAGATTAAGACGACTAAATCAGTAGCCGCGCAGAGACCATCGATCCAACGAGTGGCCATTGGGTGATCCTCGGACCGTTTTCACACACAAGATGCTGTCCGACACAAGCAGGCCTTGCAAAAATTAGATCAGTAAGGTACAGGGGTTCACCGCTTCGATGAGCAAGAAAGCGCACGCCCCCGCCAGGCGAATGGTGTCTGCTGTATGCCTCAGATAACGGAGTCAAATGCAGCCTGTCTGCTGGCGCCGGCCTGTGGGCTGACATCTCTCAGATGCTCACGCTCCACCCCGCGCGGAGGTCAAATCGGGCCGCCGGACGCTGCGCTATTTGGCAGAGCCCCCGGTCCAGGAAGCCCCAGCTGAGTCTAATCTCAGTCAGGCTGACGAGACCGACTTATCGCGGCCGTTCCCCAGCAGACGACACCAGAGGTATATTACGCCGCCGCGCCGGTCCACAAGCCCGGCTGCCTCCTAAGCCAGTCTCACCAGCGGGGCACGACGCTGCAGACGGCCGCCCGAGTGACACCAGCACCACCATGACGTCATCGAGCCATGACGTCACACGTCCACCATGGTGACCAGGTGTCTGCTCCCACGGCACGCGTCCGCCAAGAAGACCCGCTGTCTGCTTCCATGTCACGCGTCTCCCACGGAGACCCGCTGTCTGCTCCCAGCCATCGGCTTGTCGAGCGACGAGGCCTCGGTGCCGTCGGGCACGAGCACGGGACCCGCAGGGACAGCGTGGGGCCTTACATGCGAGCAATCATCTGATCGAGGCCTTTGACCGGCCGTCGTCCCCGACTCTATCGCGTCGACGAAGCCCGACAGCCCGCCCTGAATCAGGCTGGAGCGGGCCTGACAGCGGTGGATGCCAGACTTCAGCGGGTTCGGCAGCCGCGGCAGACAAATGTAGCACGCCAGAACATAGCGTAGGCGCTCCACCGCGTGTCTGCAGCCGCGGCGCCGGCGGGGCTGCGTTGTGGGCCGTTGTCCTGGCGCGGGCCCCGCACGCGCCGGACGGTCGGCGCCGGACCTGTGGTGGTCGCGTGGCCTCGGACCTCCGCACGCATCGATTGAGGAGCGGCTACCCGTCTCGGCGGCGCCACCGGTCCCCTCCCTCCTCGGCGGCCGCACCGAGCGACAACAGGGCCCATCGCACGCGAGGGCCCGCCTTCGAACGGACCCGCACGCGACGTGCGCGTGCAGCCGAGCGGACGCACGCGTGCAGAGCGCACCGCGGGACGATCAGGCTGCCTACGGCACCCAACATATAAAGCCGAGTAACTCGTCGGCCGGGGAAGCGATAGGGATTCTATAAAATGTCAACTTAGTCAGCAGCAGCCCATGCTCTTTTACCGGAACGGCAGTGTGCGTGTTGAGGTGCACGATGTCGGAGCACCACCCACACTACGGTTGTATTACGGTAATGCATCACTAGGTACAATGGACATACATTACGACAATGCATTCCTACGGCTCAACGGTAACGCGTGCAGCCTTACATCCCGGATCCGTACACTAAGCAATGCTTCTTTTAAAACACAGGCCCAGCTGGGCAAGACAAATACGGCTAACAAGGAAATCACAGGACATAGGGTACACCCGCTGGCAATCTCATTATTTTGGCTTGGGAGCGCGGATGAGATGACGAGCAGCGTGTAAAACCCGCCTCCTTGTTTCCGGGACGACCCTTAGCGGGCGCCCGACCGAGCTTCTAAACAAGGCACCGAACTTCGCTGGGGAAGTCCAAAGTTAGCACTGTCATACGAAACATATTATGCTTCGGAGATAAATGTTCTAGCAGTGTCCAGAACAAACAGAAGCTTGCGTGTGTATATGATGAAAGAGGAAATGTTTCGTATCTGCGCACGAGGCTGATGCACCCACATTGTAATGCACGGTCAATGTCATATGTGTCTATGTTGCCCCACAGCGAACTGTTCTGTTTGACTACGCTTTGGCCGAATTGCTTCAGTAGGTGGCAAAATTTAAGCAGGTCTGTGTAGCATTAGAACGTAAACTGTACAGCATAGGCTGTATAGTATTAGAACGTAAACTTTGAATCATCCTAAGCTTGCCTTCGCTTACACGGAGCCGATTCGGTCTCCTCCGCTCCCATGTCGTGAGGGTCGGTTCGGGGCTCTGCAAGCACTGCAAACGTGAGTTGATTTCTATTCCAACTTACGAATCTTACTCACGCGTGGGTCCATTCTTGAATCGACTCACACGAGTAGAACGGAGAAGATTAAGGTGAGACCGGTTAATGCAAAGCACGTCTTGTGGAAGGCATACAGTTATGACAAATATTTCGACACTGACGCAAGCGCAAGCATGTGTCCATCGCTCTAATTTTTGGTCACACAGCTTGTCCGAACGAATGGGTTGTTGACTTATCATTTATATATGTGTGTGAACTGGCCGATGAAAATTCCAACACACGTAATTCATTCCACTCTGACTCCGACTAACCCAAATTTACTTGCGGAGTCGATTCCACCCTGGCTCAAACCAAACAAAAAACAACGCTCATCCCTGATCCGACTCTGACCCGGTCGGGGTTCAATGATAAGCCTGGCAAAATGCCAAATTTCCGGAGCTAAAGGCTTTAGGTGGTCAGAGCTTATTTTGAACACGACATTATTATTAATGACCCAAGAACGACGTGACGTTACTTAAAGCGGCATTCCGAACTGATGTTCAAGAACAAATCAATAACACTCCAATGTTTTCCTCTATTGACAAACATATTGCGTTTCAGATGCACCACTCACGACGCATTCGAATAAAGTAAGCACGTGTGTGGCGTCAACTGGTTTAACGCATGATGCAATAAGACATGTAAGGCAGTATATGATATCATATGATGTAGTAGAAAAGAACCATTCACCGTAGTTTTGCTGATTCCCGCGCCGTCTCGCGGAAGCATTAGCAAAGCCATTGCCAAAGTACGCAGGCCATATTCGCACATTGCAGAATACCATCCACGACAAAAGTTTGCTTGGCTCTGTTAAACTTTCTGATGAACTCACTTTAACTTGTTAATTCCTTAGAATTGCTTCTCGGCTGAGTTACCTATGGTTTTCCTACTACTTTCATAAGACAAATACGATTCGCCAGGGTCATGAGAAACTGCTGTCGGTTTTGCCATCCATTCAATAAATATCTGTGTATGATCGTCACACCCGCAGTCAGCTTACAATCGCAAAACCCATTTAAAAGATGATTATATCAGCTGATCATCATCCCAGTCTAGCTTCCTGCCACTTTGATTCGAAGGAAACACAATAGCCCGCTTCAAGAGCGTTTACCTAATATCGACATCCAAGTAACAATCGTAAATCGTGAGACTGATGAGGGTATTCCTAGTGCATATTACACACGCGCGATGATCTTTCCCCATTAAGCATCATCGCAATATCGCGCGGGACACGGTAAATGGCGCCGATGGCACGGCGCCTCACAAGAGACACGGGTATTCGACGCAATACTTGAGCGAGGTGGCATAATTTTTGTTGACGCATTAGTTCGTTCAGTTCAGGGACCAGATACACAGGACGAGGACAGGAAGGGTGGGGGCGGTATATGCTCCCGGCAATAGCACGTTGTCGGGATTTCGAAATGACGATAACTGACACCTTTCCCAAAAACAGCAACATTTTATCTACCTTGCCGCAAACCACTTCTGCGTAGAACACAAGTGCAAAGACCGGCCGCAGTTCAACGCTCACATGGTGGTCATCCTCTCTTGGGTGTGTCATAAAAGCTCTTACAACGTATCTTCAATCCCGCTTACATTCCTGCACTACACAACGCTGATCCACCCGATAAACTAGAGACTGCTGTTTCAGCGTTCTACGACGCGATAATCGACAGCCTTCTACAGGACCTGAGCGCGCCTTTTTTCTACACCGCTCCCCAGGAACAGGTAAACAGGAGTTACCTTGGCCTTGTCGCGCATAATCGTTAACGGGCTACACAGGTCCTACGAGGAAGAGGCGGCTGGCAGCAGTAGGTCCACCCGGTCACAAACAGCTGATGACGTCATACTCGGCCTGGGACGTGGGCACCCGGAGACGTCCCCCTGGCCGCCTCTGCCTCCCCACCCCCAGGCATTAGCGAGCACAGCGGCGGCTGTGCCGGCCCCGCCAGTGGTAGACATTGCAACTGACACTCTCAAGTAAGCCTGGCCCCCGGCCGTAGGGCTGGACGCCGCGTGACCTGTGCTGCACGTCACGTGACTTCACTGACCACACACAAGGCGAATAGTTCACGGCAGCTGACGGCCCGGGCACGAACCCACAACACTGGCACGCTGAGCAACCTGGCATGCTGGAAAAGACTGTTCAAGACAACACAGTCTATCTGTTTAGTAACTATGCTCCTCAATGCGTCATTGATTGCGTCATGGAACGTTTTATGGCGTTGAGGTGCTGCCAAACTACCCGTGCGAAATTGCACCCTAGCACTTATTTGTATCACTTCAAACTAGCCCAGAGATGGCACTGGCCGTGCTGGAAGTGTTGGTTGATCCAAATATCGCTACGCGCCCGCATTAGCCTACGCAAGGAGGGCACGATACAAGCCCTAAGCAGTCAAACAGCAGATATCAATACCGGCCTATCCCACATTTCCGTACCAGCTTCCTGCACACTGATACAGACCAATTATGTTGCAGCCAGCTATGCCTCTGCAAACACATTTCCTACCACACGTTAATGGCACGTCTATCACACGGAAAATGACAGGCCGGAAAATGAGCTCACTATGTTTTTTCAACTGTCTATACACCGACAGTCTGAAGGTAGACTAACTCCAGCAAATGTGCCCTGTCTGCTGGGTTATCAGCCTCAGGAAACTGGCAGCACTGAGAGGCTGCCAAAAGTCAACCCCAAGAGACCGCAGTGCCGGGAGACTGACAGTCTCGGAAGACCGAAAGTCCCGGAGATCGCCGATGCCGCACATCGTGCGTACATCGTGTAATGTCTCCAGTGCAGGCCTGGCAGCCCGTCCGGCAGTGGGCATCATGGCAGCGGCCCTGCGTACTGGTCACATCACGGCAGGCCTCCCTCTGACGCCATGCAGCACCAGCAGCCGCGCCCCACTAAGTGGCGAACGGTGTCCGAATGGCACTTCCGGCGGCACGGGGAATGGTCCGGCTCCAGGCGGCCAGCCGGGACATAAAGCGTCCGGCTCCAGGGCGGCCAGCCGGGACCGGAACATACCGGGACCGGCTCCAGGGCGGCCAGCTCCAGGGCGGCCAGTCGGGACATAAGCCGTCCGGCTCCAGGGCGGCCAGCCGGGACCGGAACATACCGGGACCGGCTCCAGGGCGGCCAGCTACAGGGCGGCCAGCCGGGACATAAACCGTCTGGCTCCAGGGCGGCCAGCCGGGACCGGAACATACCGGGACCGGCTCTAGGGCGGCCAGCTCCAGGGCGGCCAGCCGGGATATACACTGTTCGGTTCCAGGCGGCCAGCCGGGACATACACTGTCCGGTCCCAAGGCGGCCAGCCGGGACATACACTGCCCGGTTCTAGGGCGGCCAGCCGGGACATACACTGTTCGGTTCTAGTGCGGTTGCCGCAGAGCAGGGCAGCAGGCCGGGCCGCCGGAGGACCCGGCCGCGGTGACACAGCTGGACCGCCACGGATCCCGCGGATCCAGCGAGTGACCGCCACGGATCCCGTCCCGGAGCGCGACCATGGTGTGAGTCATGAACAGCTGCGTCAGCTCGTCAGCCATGCAGCTCGGGCTTACAGCTATGCTACTGTGGCATTTGCTGCTACAAAGTGCCCTTAACTCAGCTGGTCGCAAGCCCGAAACGTTGTTGGCAGACACGCAAAACCTATAAGGAGGCTATTTTAGTAGTGCCTATTGCTGTTTTCACCAATTCATATTCGAACAAATGAGACGGACATCTCACATTCTTATGTACCCGTTCCACGCCGCACGCCGTGTGTTAACGTGGTGGACACGCCCTTCACGATAACAATGGAATCCAGGGCATTTATTCAGTGCACATTATTTAGATCATGTTAAGATCCTTGCAGGAAGGTGGGGGAGGACTAAGCGGCGGTTTTAGAGCGCCAAGAGCGAGTATCAAATATACTGGCTGTTCACGGAACACTTAACGGGTTTACCCTCCCAAACCTTATAACCTTCGTCGCCAAATTGACCCAAAAAGAGAGGAAGAAGTTTTCGTTTCACACCATGTTATCTGGTGATAGCCTGATGGTGACGTAAACCAAATGTTTGTTATTCCTTTGTTTCCCCGAGTCCCCCCAAGGATGGTGTAAATGAAACGTTTGTTCTTTCCTTTCTGGTTAATTTCACAACAGACGATTAAACTTGGCAGGTCCATGGTTCCTTTTATCATTCGATAACCCTGCAGCCAAACATCCTGTCAGTTTAGGTGAAGCACATGTATTATACATTTTCGTTGAGTTTAGTTATGGGCAGTTCCAACACCATTTTCAAATGGATGCATTCCAAACATGGGTCTTATACTATCGTTTGACAGCACGGCGGCAGATCAGCTGCTCTGAGCAGCTGCCGAGGCAGACTGCTATTAACACTGCAGTAATACAGGTCAAGCTGGACTTTTACATTGAGCTTGTATCACAAAGATGTTGTAAAGATAGCTGTGTGCTGGCAAATCGAATTCCAAAATGTTAAAATACGTAAAATAGGGATAAAACTGCTAGAAACAAACCCTTACCAAATATCCGAACCAACAGAAAATTTTACCAGGGTGCATGGGTACCTAGGATCTTCAGCAGCCGTCGCATGAATAACATCACAAACTGACACACTGCATAAATTCCGTCACAAAAAAAGGATTCCCCGATAGGTCCAGCTCACTCTCAAAGGTCGTACGGTCAGCTTTTGTTTAGACAGTTTGCTGCGGAAGGCGGGCGGAGGCGCGATCAACGACACAGCGCGCCGGTACGGACAACCCAGGCTGCTCAAGCCGCAGCGACAGTCGGTCGTCCCCAGCCCAATCCGGCGCCCTCCTCGCCGAGCCGACACGCGGACGTAGCGCCCGCCTGCCCCAGCGGGCCGTGGGCAGCAGCTCACCAAGCGGTCGGCTTGCTGCAGCTGCTCCGGACGCGGCGGCGTGTGACCCGGCGGCTGACCTGGTCAGGTCACGGCTCGCTCTCCCGCGCGCTCCGACACTGGCGCCGTGCTGGGCCCGGCGCCGGCGACGGCCGAGCGGCGGCGCCACCGTCGCCGGTCGCTATTGATCCCTGGACGGCGACGCGAGCTGCGCGACCCGGGCTCCTCCCCATCCCCGCAGGCCCCGAGACGGCCGGCGACCGGACCGAACCCGGGCTCCTCCCCATCCCCGCAGGCCCTCCGAGACGGCCGGTGACCGGACAGGACCCGGGCTCCTCCCCATCCCCGCAGGCCCTCCGAGACGGCCGGTGACCGGACAGGACCCGGACTCCTCCCCATCCCCGCAGGCCCTCCGAGACGGCCGGTGACCGGACAGGACCCGGACTCCTCCCCATCCCCGTAGGCCCTCCGAGACGGCCGGCGATGGGACCGGACTGGGACTCTGCTCTCAGTCAGTGCCGGTTTGGGGCAGTCAGCGACGGAACCACGGAACCAGGAACCAGGTCGGGGCGCGACTCCGTCAGCCATCTCCGTGTAAGACGGCCATCCCAGGCACGCAAGGCCCATCGAAACATCGAAACGGGTGTGCAGTGCGACTATGCCATTGGAGCACAGGAGCCTTGCGCTGGGGTGGTCCCGCGTGATGACGCATATTGCCCGCTATGCACAATGATATTTTCGTGAGGCCGATTTCTTAGAGTGCAGATTTTAGTTTCCTTGCGTCTGTTCCCCATTGGTGATTACACGGGTCGAGCAGTTCATCAGTTTAAAATTAACCAAGTAAGGCGTTGGGAAGCTAAGCCCATTTTATCAGCCCGGAGCGCCAGACCCACCGAACCAATAAGAACATCTCATCTAACGCGGCTCCGTATCACATGTGGCGAGCCGGTCATCATCTGGCTGGCGAGCCCGACGGCGTCCGGCAGAGGAGCGAGAACGCCCGGGGCCTGTGCGCACCAGCTCTGTCGGCTCAGCCCGCCTGAGCCTGCGGTAGCCGGAGGCCGGTGCGCCGGCCGCCGGCGCCGACCGTCCCTGGACGGCCATTCTTCCCGACGCCCCGCCATTAGGATCAGGAACAACAATCTGGCCGTCCCGGAGACGGATGGCAGCCGCTCCGAGCGTGGCCAAGATTGCACAAAGCGAACACCCTCCGCCGTCCTCGTCTCTGGTAGTCGATAATCGACCGACGGACCGCCAGCCTGCCGCCCAGGGGTGATGCGTTCTCTTCGCAACACGTTTGTGTGAAAGTAGCACAGTAGCACAGGAGCGCAGCAGCGCAGCCAGCGCAGGACAAGGCGGCATTTTAGGCACACTGCTCCGCGCGAGAAGTCGCCACAGTCGGAGCAGCCTGCTCCCGGCGAGAGGTGACCACAGTCGGGGCAGCCTGCTCCCGGCGAGAAGTGACCACAGTCGGAGCAGCCTGCTCCCGGCGAGAGGTGACCACAGTCGGAGCAGCCTGCTCCCGGCGAGAGGTGACCACAGTCGGAGCAGCCTGCTCCCGGCGAGAGGTGACCACAGTCGGAGCAGCCTGCTCCCGGCGAGAAGTCGCCACAGTCGGAGCAGCCTGCTCCCGGCGAGAGGTGACCACAGTCGGAGCAGCCTGCTCCTGGCGAGAGGTGACCACAGTCGGAGCAGCCTGCTCCCGGCGAGAAGTGACCACAGTCGGAGCAGCCTGCTCCTGGCGAGAAGTCGCCACAGTCGGAGCAGCCTGCTCCCGGCGAGAGGTGACCACAGTCGGAGCAGCCTGCTCCCGGCGAGAGGTGGCCACAGTCGGAGCAGCCTGCTCCCGGCGAGAAGCAATCACAGTCAGAGCAGCCTGCTCCCGGCGAGAAGTCGCCACAGTCGGAGCAGCCTGCTCCCGGCGAGAAGTCGCCACAGTCGGAGCAGCCTGCTCCCGGCGAGAGGTGACCACAGTCGGAGCAGCCTGCTCCCGGCGAGAAGTGACCACAGCCGGAGCAGCCTGCTCCCGGCGAGAGGTGGCCACAGTCGGAGCAGCCTGCTCCCGGCGAGAAGCAATCACAGTCAGAGCAGCCTGCTCCCGGCGAGAAGTCGCCACAGTCGGAGCAGCCTGCTCCCGGCGAGAAGTGACCACAGTCGGAGCAGCCTGCTCCCGGCGAGAAGTGACCACAGTCGGAGCAGCCTGCGGACGCAAGGCGCAGCGAGTCGCCGGTGACCGGACCGCCACCGAACGGGTTGGTGCGCACCCGACGTAACCGGACGGGTGCGGGCCGCTACCGGGCGTGTGCGGGCCGAGAACGGACGTGTGCGGACCACCACCGGACGGGTGCGGGCCGTTCTCGGACGGGTGCGGGCCGCTACCGGGCGTGAGTGGGCCGACACCGGACGTGTGCGGGCCACCACCGGACGGGTAGCAGACGAGTGCGGGACGCCAGCAGACGAGTGCGGGACGCCACGACGCGAACGCCTCGTGCTCCCGGTGCCAGAGGCTGGCGGCGCGTGATCCAGCCAGAGGGCGGCACTACAGAGGCCGGCGTCACGCCAGCTGGTTAGCGCGGGCCAGCTGGTGGTGGTGCCTCACCACCAGACTCATTAACGCGCCCTGTCTCGTGGCCCGGACGGCACAGCGAGAACTCCTATACTACATGCATTTATATCCTTACATTGGCTGCATAGTGCAAACACGCCTCTAAAATGTCACTGCATCAGCGTGTGATAATGATGACTGCGAAATGATGAATGACGATATGATGACTGCCATCGCCAGTGTGCGGTCTGTTGTGGCGGTGCCCGTCCCCTGCATCTGACCCCGTGCCCATCCCCTGCTGCCGCCGCCAGTGTGCGGTCTGTTGTGGCGGTGCCCGTCCCCTGCATCTGACCTCCGTGCCCATCCCCTGCTGCCGCCGCCAGTGTGCGGTTTGTTGTGGCGGTGCCCGTCCCCTGCATCTGACCCCCGTGCCCATCCCCTGCTGCCGCCGCCAATGTGCGGTTTGTTGTGGCGGTGCCCGTCCCCTGCATCTGACCTCCGTGCCCATCCCCTGCTGCCGCCGCCAGTGTGCGGTTTGTTGTGGCGGTGCCCGTCCCCTGCATCTGACCTCCGTGCCTATCCCCTGCTGCCGCCGCCAGTGTGCGGTCTGTTGTGGCGGTGCCCGTCCCCTACATCTGACCTCCGTGCCCATCCCCTGCTGCCGCCGCCAGTGTGCGGTCTGTTGTGGCGGTGCCCGTCCCCTGCATCTGACCCCGTGCCCATCCCCTGCTGCTGCCGCCAGTGAGCGGTCTATTGTGACGGCGCCCGTCCCCTACATCCGACCCCCGTGCCTATCCCCTGCTGCTGCCGCCAGTGTGCGGTCTGTTGTGGCGGTGCCCGTCCCCTACATCTGACCCCGTGCCCATCCCCTGCTGCCGCCGCCAGCGTGCGGTCTGTTGTGGCGGTGCCCGTCCCCTACATCTGACCCCGTGCCCATCCCCTGCTGCTGCCGCCAGTGTGCGGTCTATTGTGACGGCGCCCGTCCCCTACATCCGACCCCGTGCCTATCCCCTGCTGCTGTCGCTAGTTTGCGGTCTTTTGCGGGCGGTACCCATGCACCGATGTTGCGCCTGGTGCCCGCCCCCTTGTCCGGCCTGTTGTGGGTGGTGCCAGCACCCCGTGTCCGGTCTGTTGCGGCGGTGTCGGTCGTTGGACCCCCTGCCCAGGTGGGTGGCGCCGGTCTGGCGGCCGCCTACCGATCGCCGCTGTCGCCGCACTATCGACCGGGCCTGCTCCATTCAGGCCGGCCAGAGGGCGAATTCCAACCTCTTCGGCGGCACACGCCCACACGTCTAACACACCCAGCGTGCATGCACGGGACGGTACAAACGACCCTCACCCTGCACCGTGAACGGGGATCAACGATCGACGATAGTTCGGTTAAACTGCCTGGTAGAGGTGCGAAACTGGGGCGCGGCCAAGGGAGGATTTTGGGATTATTTTTGGCCTTGATTCTGCGTTTTTTACCACGGAATATTCCGGACAGAAAATTACAAATTGGTGTGATGTGTACTCATTAGGCTCCGGAGCCTCCCCTTGAAAAATCCTGGCTGCGCCCCTGGTGCGAACAGTCTTGGCTTGTGGTCAATGTTGATGAAATGCATGACATAATGGAAAATTATGACCCCTTACCTCCAGACACTCGGAGGAATTAGAAACCATATACAGGAGGTAAAAGCGGATCAGAACAATACCATTCGACTTCTCATGATGACTGTTTGCAACGAACTGAACCACTAAAATGGACTTTCTTAGAACACATCTACGAAGTCAACGTTTGTTGTCAGCTGTTAGCAGCCCGCCATACCTCCGATGTCAATATGCAAAACACCACCGGAAGGTAAGCACGTAGGGACTGCGCCCGAGATAGCTTCATTGATTCCGGCTTGGGCTTGGAGATAACAGTCTTTCACGACACATTCGTTCACATCACAAGAACGATTGCTTATCGTGCATGTAGCCTGCAAACGTTTTCTACAACATTCTTCCTGCACCGACTTATTTTAGTCAGCAAAATCATTGCGATCGCGTTCTTTGTTCTTTGCTTGTTCTTTGTTGTTGTTTTCTTTTTGTATCGCGCCGTTTGTTTGGTGTTCGCGGGTACTCATGGTGCGCTCTTCTGACGATCGTTATGTCAGAGTGTGTAATGTATACGTGACTGTATAATCAATACGTGCATGCGTGCGTGCGTGTGCGTGGTTAGGTTTTTTGTTTGTGCGCGTGCACCGTATGCTTTTTAATTAAAAGCTGGACTGCTTCCACCTTTGGGCTTTTGCCTGTTGACCGCTTACGCCCTAATTAACTTTATGTAAGAACTAACAACTCACCTATTGAAGGGAAGAAAGTCAAATACCTTGGTCCGTTCATCGACAAACCTTGGATTTACGCCTAATATTAATCACGTTGCCAGCGTATTCAGTACAAATATTGATATAATTGGTAGAACTAGGTACTTAGTTGATAAAACAGCGTCGAATTTACTCTATAACACTAAAGTTTTTCCTTATTTGAAGTACTGCTTCTTGATTTGGGGTGTTAATTACGCTCTTGATCTAGATAGATTAGTAATTTTACAAAAAGGGAAGTGT